TCAAGATCACAAACACATAGAAAAATTAATTTAAATTGTGTATCTTGTATTTCCGTTTTCCACAATAAATTTCAACAAAGAACCACTAGAAATTCCTGTTATAAATTATATATAATTAATCAATCACATACGGTCATACATTGTGAACGTGAGAGACGAATGCTGCGAATTTTTAATTTTATTGAGTATCGACAATTATGCGTTGTCAAGATAGTCAGTATCTACTAATGAGAATACTCTCAAAAGTCGCCAGCAGTAATTAACAACATCAGTGATATTTATTCACCGTATCTGGCAAATTTAATAATACAGAAAATTTATTGCGAAAAAATATTAACCTGGCTTAGAAAATACTTAAAACTAGAACTGGTTACAAGTGGCAGGCGCAGACGATCCACAACCGTGAGCTATCTAAGCGCGCCATTACTTCGAAATCGATTACTCTTCAAGGATCTCGTTGGCTCTCAGCTTGATCTCTTTCCATGAATACTCTATATCCTTGCTCTCGCTGAATTCAGAACAGACGGCGAATCGCAAGAAGTATATGCACTTTATTTTCGCTGGAATGAGATAGATGTTTCCTGCATCGTTGATTTTCTTTAGCAAGGCTTTATTGAGTTCATTGGATCCCTGTAAAATATTATGGAATTAGTTGTGCTATTTTCTGACGTTTTTATAAAAACGTACTCCATATTTTTCAATATTCAGCTAATCAAATATTTCGAAAAACATTCATACATTAATTTGAAAGATTCTATTTTTGTATTTGAGAATTAAATATTATAATTATCTTTTCTAAATAAATACTATATTGCATATACATCCATATAGGAGTTGTCAAGAGAGACTTTTTTGCAAATATATTTGTGAAAACCTCGATGTAACGTATAAAATAATCGGGTATATGTTCAGACCGGGAAAAAACCTTTACTGTACAGGTCACACTAAGGCAGCGTGTTGCTGCTACAAGAGAGTTACATACTACTACTACTAAACGAACAATTCCACTAAGCGCTGCTAATAAGACGACAACGGGTGGCGCATCTGTGTCGTGCTACTCGACTACCGATGCAACCGATTTTTGACAATCGATTTACCTTCAATCGGAAGCAAACCAATCCCATGAGAACATGGCCTATGATTTCGAAGCGAGGATCGGACAGAACTAGTGCTTCGAATTCGTGTGCTTGAGCAACGTGCGATCTAATGTACTTTTGAAGATTCTCGACCCCGTAAAGCCTCATTACGAACCATAGCTTCAGAGATCTGAATCTACGTGCAAGTGGAATCTGCCAATGCTGTAACAAAGTACACTCACAATCAGGTCAATTAACGACAGGTTTCATCAAGTGTTTCCTAAAATTATTTTATTAATAAGATAATGCAAATTGGACTGTATTAACAATAGTTACCCTGTAATCTGTCACCAAATCCTGCATCTCGTGCTTTAGAAACTCAGCTTCCACATTGAAAGCGTTTGTAAAATATGTCGGATTCTTAAGCCATAGGACAGAGCAGTCGAAATTAACTAACATCCATTTATGAGGGTTGAAATTGAATGAATTTACCGTTTCAATACCTTTCATTAAATATCTGAATTCCGGACAAATAAAAGCAGATCCTGTAATCAATTGGATTTGTTTTAGCTCTGTTTTATAAATTGAAGAATTCATAATTACTTTTATCATAGAAGAAGGAAATTAATCTATACCTGCATAAGCAGCATCCACGTGCAACCAAACGTCTTCGCGATTCGCTATAATACCAATTTCATCGAGACGATCAAAAGCGCAACTAGCAGTCGTCCCCAAAGTAGCGACAATCTGTGATAAGAAATCAACTTGTACTTTTTAATATAAATTAATTTCTTCATGATATCAATTAATATTAGTTTCTTGTTGTTACGGAAACGTTACGTTAATTATTTATGGAGTAGAATTATTAAGCGCGATATACCATATTTCCGTGTTCTTGTAATTAATATATTGTAACATTAAATTTCTAAAAGTATTATATATTTCAAGAAGTTGTATTTCGGAGAAATTTTTGGATATTTTATTTTTTTCTTCGTGAATTCTCTACGATTCTAGTTATCTTTTAAAGGAATAAAATTTGGAAGAAACAGAGTATTTGATCGATAAAGACATATCGGACAAACTAGACGTACGTAAAACGGTATAAATCCTTCTTCTATATCCTTTCTGATTGCTTCGGCAAACGTGTCGCCGCGCAGCTGATATTTTTCATCGACTTCCAACTGTCTTAATTTTACTCCTCCCATACGTCCAGCGCGTTCAACCCCAGTATGTGCTTGGCCTTAGGAAATACAATATTTTGTCACGTATTGTTATTGTGATTCATTTATTATAATTGTTCGATTTTTAAGAAATCTGCAATGTTGATTTGAACCATACATTTTCTTATTACTACACGGAAAAAACAATGTAGCTGCTGTAGCTAAAACTTAGCAAAATAGGGACAGCTAATATTTTAGTTGTGATAGCTCAATATTTTGCTACTGTGCCTATTGTACTAGGTGCGACAGCAAACGGTTTGCTGTCGTAGTAAAATATTGAGCTATCACAACTAAAAATATTAGCTGTCCCTATTTTGCTAAGTTTTAGCTACAGCAGCTACATTGTTCTTTCCGTGTACATTATGTTAATTTACACATTGTCGATATATGTATAATATTTAAATTTAGAGTAACTTCTGCTTACAAAACTAAACTGTATGTAAATTTTACTTCAAGAAATGAACTTGTTATCGATTTAGGTATGTGAATTTAATATTTCAACGAATAATAAAACTATGTTTTAAGTCCGTCAAAAAATCGATGCGCGTTTATTAAGTTTGAAATAAGTATACAAAAATTTATACAATATTATTAGGTTACGAAGAACTAGCTCTGACCAATAGTTGGATAATTCTTAATTCATTTATAGTTTTATCGGTCATGCTGTTCACTTAGGAATTTTGATGTTCCTAATGTGTTCTAATGTATAAATTTTATTAATTACGACTATCAGCTTTATTTCTGTAAAGTTTCAGTTGCGAATGGCCGAGGTCATTTTGTTCTCTTGCGATATAGTCTTTCTATTCCTATGTTACAATTCTCTTATAATAGGTTGAATACTTCAAGCGTGTCCTTATAACTCAATATGTATAAATAAATTCGCTTTTGGGCAGACATTTGAACAAGCAATGAATTTCGTTTTTGTTTCGATCTTATAGACCTCCTGTAATTTTTGTGTGACATATTCTGTAGGGAAATAATCGCAGTAATACTCACTCGAACAATATGCGACTAGTTTATCGACAATCTCGTTTTCCGTCATATTAGGATACTGTTCTTTAACTTCCTTGAGCTTTTTAGTCTTCGCACCTAGTAACGTTACCAAAGTCCCTTCGGAAGCACTGCCCTGTAAGTGAAAATTTCACCCATATTCGCTTCATAGTGTCTTCCTTTTTAAAAATGTCAGTCTCAAAAATAACCATTTCTTCCATATTCAGATATCTTTTGTTAATGTATTGCTATTGGAAAAGTGTCTCTTACTAGAATGACGCCACCGCCTTTTCCAACGCTGCAGGAAAGAAATTCTTTGGGCAGGGCCAACATTTTTACCAGCCAGTCCAGTACGATCACTTCTAGTTCAGTACAAGCTGGACTCACGAACTGGAATTCAGGAAATTTGGTATGAAAAGTGACCAAGAGGATAGCGTGTCTTTAATATTTTAATCTTAGTGTTCGATATATTTTTTTGCTTTATGTTATCTTTCATTTTTCAAAATTATTATATTTCATTTTGCATAATGGGATCTTGTTATCATTAGTAACTTAGTCTTTTATCTATTGCGAAAACAGATTTTATTATTCTTAAAAATTCAAATAAATATTTCTTTATAAACTTCATAGTATATGTACTGGAAAACATGTATGTGGATCTTCTAGTAATAGGTACGATTAAAACATTCACATTTTTTATGCTCTTACCCACGAGAACCCAATACACCCAATACCTGCGCTTAACATATCGGCTAGAATCGAGGGATACGAATGACCAGCGGGAAAGAATGCATTGAAGTTTGGACTCTGCCAATGAGTAACCTAAACAATTTGATCTTAATTTATTTCTTGCCCACAGTCGAAAATACTGATGATAAAGTACATTAGTGTTTTAATTGTAGTGTTATTGTTTCGCGATGCTTGAATTATTGTATATAATACTTTTGTTAGATTAGCGATTTCCGATCCATTGAGTGGTTAAAAATTACTTACGCCTGGCATTATTACTCTTTCGATATCGGCCATTACATCTTTCCATTGTTCAGGAGTTTGGGGTGCTTCGGATGGCACGAGGGGTCTCATGTATCCTGGCTTCACCTTAGGCAAGACTCTCCTGGGAATTTTTAATATTTTTACAGACTAGATATATTTATATGAAAAGTACAAAATAATATACGTAGTCACGAAAGATAATTAGACTCCTATAGTAAAATAAAAAACGAACATAGAAAGAAGCAATAGGAGTCAACACAAGACGTTATGTGTGACATGTATAACATTGGATACATCGAAATATAAATAATTACATCAGACGTTTCGATCACACAACGTTATCTTTCTCAATGACAGATATACAATAAGTGTTCAACATGTTTTTTAATATACGTAGATTATTATTTATGCAGTTTCACCGTTAAGCGATTTTTCGATGCTTGTTATCTACCTGTCTCTAATATTTTCCATGTAATTTGTGATATATTCCGTCATCTCTTTTGCGCTATCCGTGAAGCTCTCTGGATCCATCTTTTACAAATAACGGTTTAGTTTAACAGCAAGCTGTAAATATTTTTGTACTGTTTTTATCCTATAATCGATAAGTGACGAGGGGTAAACCGCTGTGAGCATTGTAGTGTACAGTTTTGCGGCATTCCTGGCCGTTAATTTTGGCATTAAGCTTTGGGCGGTCATTATAAAAATGAAATTACATGAAATTAAATTAAATAATAATATTGACTAACAGGAATACATTGTTTTTTTCATAATGGAATTTATATTGGAACAACACGTGGAATGTTAATATTCTTGTTACAGTTTGTTCTCTCTTAAGTAATTTATTTTAATTTCTTGTTTTCGAAAACCATGTGGAATATCTTAAAATTCTTTTGGTGCATTTTTGCAACAAATAAAAATGTTTCAAGCATTATACTCGATCGGTACACAATTTTCTCAAAAACGATTATTAGAAAAATTAAAAATGCATTGTCTTTTTCATGACGGATCGATGTTTGAGAGACTTTGGAATTGATTCGTGCAAATAAAAATTTACCTGGTGTAATAGTATCAGAAGATGCGACTATGCCAGTCTCTTCAGCGAAGATCCTGATAAGTGTTGCAAGTTCTTATGTAAATATTTTTGTGTGAAAAAACTCGCACGAGAGATACTATTTAAGCTTGTAGCACCTGTTTACTTCCACAGACTTATCCAAGTTAATGAGTAATAATAAAACTCATATCGCTTTTGTAGTCACTTTACTGATTGCTGAACATGATTCATGCTATTGCCAGGAGATCACGAAGTACAATGTTAAAGTCGAAAATGTCTAACGGTAAAAATTACCACTAGCCGAGGATCTACGAAAACGTTCGAACGATGGCGAATGGCAATTCAAATTACCGCATTAAAAAGTTTTAAGAAACAAGAGCGGGATAGAACATTGTCATGTGACTCATAAACAATAAGCTATACACTACCACCTTTAAAAGCTTTACCCAAGTAGAACATATTGGTCATGAAAACATCAAGATGACATCATTTTTCGATCATTTTTTATGCATCATGGTGACGTCAAAATAGCCCACCGAGAGCACCTATTTGTGACATCATTAAGACATCGAAATGTTATAAAGTTAATCTCGTTTTACCAAGCAAAGTTAATTAAGTATTATACATCAAAAATAAATCGAAGTAATATAAGACAAACATAATATATGACTGATCATGTAATCTGTAATAATATATTATTATACACGTCACGAATATCATAAAACAGCGTGTCATTAGTCAGTCATTGCGAAGTAAATCTTGATGTCGATCATTTTATGACGTAAAATTCGTCATTTTAATGTCACATTGACGTTTTTGTGATTAACTTGTTCTACTTGGGTAGCTTTTAACAATAGCAAATGCATGTGTGTACATACGTACACTAGGAATCACTAATACCTTTCCACATGAATTTATCAACATGTCAACATAATTTACACATTTTGCATATACATATTATACATGGAACATGTATAAGTATGTGTTCTACATGTGTCTAAATTTATATGAGAAAACGTCAGTGATTGCTAGTGTACAAAACTAAATCATGCGTATGCTCTTATGCCACAAATCGACTGATGTGTTGTACCAATTTATGAGTAATGTTAATGCTCTAACATGAATATAACACAATAATATACATACATCTATTATATACGAGCAACTTGAGAAGCTAAAGGTAACATGGATAAGCTGTTCAGAGGTCGAGTAATTAATCCTGTCTTTCTTGGAGCCACACTTGATTTTAATATAAGAATCTTTTGCAACTTGTAACGTTACAAGTTCTAATATAACAATACGCACTGAAAGATTTGTATCAGCAAATTCATGTAACTGTATTTCGTACTCATAAAAATTTAGTGATAAATTAGCTCAATATTGTTTAAAGCTTATCGAGTTATTTTCAATAACTTGTGTCTATATATTTTTGAACATTTATACAAATACATTTCTATTTGTTTTACTCTCATCTTCTTTAATAATAATTACAATTTGTGTAAATATATTTTGTCTTGCATTTTATTGTTAAAATATTTCCATTTGTAAAAAATAATTGAAAAGAATTATGTATTTTGTTCAACACATATTTGGATATTCAATACAATAATCTTTTATTCATTTTAAAGAATATATAGTTTTCTTGATTTTTAAATGCCTTTTATCGTTTCTTATTTAGCATTGACGATATCTTTCTGTATCAATAATTTAGAAAGAAAAGTACAACTTTTAGCTGGTTGCGTGACCGCTCGGGGATCGTTTCTGTATTTCTGTTTCCTCGTGTTTTCTCTTTGTAAAATAATATTATTACAATAACGCCAGACTTAAAGAAAAATTGTTGCATTGAAATAAAATAAATAAAATTCTTATTTGCCTCGTTATTAAATCGTTATCAGTTATGCTTCTGTAATTTAAAAATTAATTTAAAGATGGAACACATGCGAGTAACGTGTTAGGTCGCAAAATGTTAATAAGTAGATTAGGTAGTTATGCATTAAAGGGGTCTCCCCTCCTATTATAGTTATTTTTAGTATGTTGTTGGGGGGATCTTACGCGTCATTTCATATATACATATACAATAATAATAGAATACTGCTCTGACGAATAACAATCAATGAATAAAAGGGCTAAGAGCCTTGACTGGGTGTTAGTGTCACAATAATAAAATTCTCATATATTTAAAACATAAAACTACAATACAATAATAATACACATATACAATATATATTACACACAAATACAATACACATATACAACATATATTATACATTTCATAATTGTACCTTTTTTAAGTATTTACTTGAGTGTCAAAACATAATAATTTGTTCAAGACTGTTTAACGTTGCTGCAATATAAATGTTAATGTACGAACATTAACCTAGATACAACGTAGAAAAGATATTTATATTTCAACGTTCAACATTGCAACGTTTCAGCTACATTATTTTAACTTTCCGTGCTGTATTGGTAGATGCAGTGGTCCCAGATATAATCGTCACATACACAGATGGACGCATGTGGATATTTTTCCCGCAATTTGTCAACAATGGTATATTCCTTAACATGGATGTGAAGTTCAGGAAACTGCTCGAGAATTGCTACTCTCTCGGGAATCTCAGATAATGTCCGAAACCGTAAATCTTTTAGGTTTTTACATTGCGTCAGTGCTTCATTGATATCACCGTTGAGATCCGGCAAAAACACTGTTTCCAGACTTCGACAGGAAGAAAACAATCTACGCCAGCTATCCTTATCGATTCTATTGACTTCTCTGTAAATAAACCATATCGTTATTGCGATTTATCGCAAAGAGAAAAATCACGCACTATGTATTTCAAGATAATTGCAAGAGTAAACATACAAATTACGATAAAGAATATAATAATATATTAGAGAAAATCCAGCATACGTTTTGCTAATGCTCAGCATTCGTAAATTCTTGAACTCAGCGAGGGCAGCTATGCATGGCGAATCAATATCCCAGCTCGATAACTTTATCGTTTCCAAGTTTGAAAACAATGCTTTATCTCGTAACTTTATTATTACTGCGTTCAGATTTACCTTTCCTTTACTATTCAAATGCAAATAACGCAATCGGTGCTTTCCTTGCAGTATTTTGCAAAAGATTTCAACGGATCTTTGTGTATTAGGGATTTCTATATGTTGAAAGGTAAATTGTTCTAAAAGGTTTAGATGTTGGAGGTACAAAAGCCCTTCGTCCACATAGTGAAAATCATAATCAACGCAATAGCTGAAATTTAACACTGAAAAATGCGTTTGATTAGTCAGGCATAAATTATCTGTGTTCTTTAAAATCGTAATTGTACCTGTCAAATTTTTGCACGTTTTCCCAATTTCACAGAGGATATCGTTGTTATAGTTGCAAAAACTTAATCGCAAGGACGTTAACTTCGAGCCACAAGTTTTAAGAAATGTTATGAAACGTGTACTAGGCACGATACATTTTACAAGATCCAACTGTTTTAAGTGTTCACATCTCGATTCCAAGTGAGATAGAATTTTACACTTTAAATTACTAACAGGATTATCGGTAGACTCGTTATAAAGGCGCAAATCTTGTATATTTAAATATTTAAAAAGCGATAGATCTCGTGTTAAATCATTGAACCGTTTATTCGTTATGCTCATAAGGCACAATGACCTTAAATCTAAGTATTCCAGTATTTTTAGTATCATCTCATCCTGCAAGGATAAAATATAAAATTTTAATTGACGATATTATAACAAATATTGTTATAAGAAAGCAACTTCTTTAAATGCGTTGAACACTTTACAGGAAGCTGAGAAAAATCACAAAGCTGGTGCTCCTTGAATTCACTTGGAGAGGGTGCGATACTTTCCAACTTTCCGTTATTTAAACGTAAATTGCTAAAAATAATTTTGAAGTAAACTGACCGTTAATACTAATAAAAAATTGATTATCACTTACTATCGAAGATTACAATACCTTTTACGCATAATGCAATAGTCGGAAAATTTGTCCATAAGTTGATATATATCCAAGTTCGCAGTTTTGTAATCTGGTGTGAAGTTATGCATATCCTCACGGTCAGGATAGCTGCGATTGATAACTTTCAATAGATCAGCTAGACTCTGTTTAGGATCTTTAGGTTGAATCAATTCTGACGTTCCGATGAGCTCCACAGCATCTATCCGTGTGTCAGTGGTTCTGTAATCGTAATGCGGCAATATCAATCTGAGCATTTTAGTTTTAAAGTCACAGGCCCGTAAAGCCGGGGAAAACACTCGTGATTCGCAGCGGACAAATTGCTTTCCTCCGGTCCATAATAAAAACCACCGATCAGAATCTCGCGCCCATATTTCTGTTACTCTACCAGGATTCAGTACCTCATGTATAGACACCCTAATTGGATATACGGCTTCTTGAAACTCGAAATCTACAAAGTAAATAATTGTACTGTGATCATTTCTGATCTTCTTTTATAATACCTTATTTATCAATTCAAATGTTACATACCAACACAAGTATGATCGATGATCTCTGTGGATGCACAGTCTGATGAGTTAATATAATTTGGTTCTTGCAGACATGACGATATTGAAATACTGCAACCGCCATTATGTCCCTGTAATAAGAGATAATACCAAATCATTATGTCATCACAAAATCGTGCAGCATAAAGTGAAAATATGAGTATTTTTTACAAAACATTAGCAGATAATATGTGGAAATAACATATACACGATGTCCTACCAGTCTCTCGTAGTCTATACATGTAGTAGGCAATCCAATTATATTATAAGTGCAAGAAGTATCACGTCTTCTAATATACGCATAGTTATTTATTTTCTGATTCTCTATGCGTCTCATCCTTTCATCTTGACTTTTGCAACTGCGCATATGTTGATAGATAAAGTTAACATGATCCCCTTCTACATTTACCCTTTCGACATAGATACCATTCTCGTAATTAGATTTATAATAGGACTTCGTATCTTCGGAAAAAAATGCGATAAAATCCCGGTAAAGATTTTGCAAGCACTTTGTCGCCAAGTTGGCATTAAACATTATAGCGTTTATGTCAGCGACCACTTCGTGTTGCTAATAATGCGGATATAATGCGCTAGCAATTTTGACACCAAAAACCGAGGGAAGGAGTTTTATGTCAAAATCGTGTCAAAAACCGAGCAAAATCTGTTAGCAGACATTTAAGCGTAATGTGACATATAGCTAGTAGTGCAATGAGTGCGTTCCGGCAGGACACTGCTACTACAGCGCCTACGGTAGCGCTGCACGAGTGCGTTCCGGCAAAACTTTTCGTTACACCTGTAGCGGAACTTCTACCCCTTCATTGTGGCTTTCATTCTTGTCGAAAAGTACAGTTATATGCCATGCAGCTTCACTACTAGCATACTAATGGTACAAGAGCATGTGGAAAGATTAAGATGCCATTATACACAGAGAAAATCAAGGGTGAGTGGAGCGAATAGTGTTCTCTACTTTGATTGGTCCGCCAGTTTCAGCTTGCCTTCCACCAGTATGTATATATGTAGAGTAGTGGACAAACTGACTGCGACATGGTTTTTTGTTTTTAGTGAGTTTAAGAACGTGCATTTAGATTCGGGCAGAGAGAAACCTGAAAGCGGCCACGCCGGCGTTTTACTTGATACCGTTTTCTTCGACTGATTCCAGCGCTTTACGCCCATTTTCATTTTTCGAACTATTCCGCTACACCCATTTTCAAGCACTGCCGATAAAGTCTCCACTTTAGACAAGACAAGACAAGACAAAACAAGACGAGACAAGGTAGAAAAGGTTTCTGTATCCATTCTTATGAGTAATGCATAATTATTTCTGATGGTAAAGAAAAGAAACGTATTAATTTGTTGTTTGGATTGTAAGTGTATAAACTTTCTTTATTCTTCTTAAATTCTAAATAGCTTTTAAAATATAATTTTATATTATAATTTAACGAACAAAGTTATACAAATTGTTTTCTTTTTTAAGGCAGTTTTATGTCAAAATAGTATTTTTATATCGACATTACTTATCTATCGCTAAAATAGTAGTAATTAGGCAATAATGACTTTGCTTGTGCCTTAAACCAATTTTATTAAACAGAAACTTGTAACTGTAACAAGAATAAATTTTCTCTAATTAAAATTGCCGGTTGTGTCGGTTGTCCATTTTCTTACACTGTAACCTGTAACTATTTTAATCAAATTAATTAATAAACCAAGATTTTGTCGTGTAAATTACGTTGTCGGTGATTAATTCCGTCACCAATTTCTAATTATTTCCGATCCTACAAGTTCATTTGACAAATGTTTTACTGACAAGAATAAGAATTATAAATTTATTATTATTTTAATATTTATATTAATAAGAACATTTTTATTGGAACATGCGACGAACGTACGTTCAATCATGAATATTTCAATATCTAATATCTCATTAATTTTGTATTCAAAGCATTGCTATACCCATATATTTTCATTTAATAGAATTAATTTAAAAATAATATATTATTGATGAAAAAGAGAAATGAGAGCGATTCAGTACATTTATTAATCAAATTTGGTCAACGATAAAAAACATCGCCTCACAGTTGTTAATTTTACCTATCCCATTTATACATTTTCTGCTTGTTATCAGTGATCGTTGTCATCCAGTCATTCAAATATTTTCTTGACCCCTACACTGAAAAAGAGATCAGTTTAACTCACTATCAGACAAGACACCAATCGCCCTTGCTCAAATGTCAAGTGAAATTATAGCAATCATCAAGTACAATAGATAGTTCATTAATTTGATGATGAACATTTGTGTTGAGATATCGGTTGGTAAATTGAAATATTATTTTCTACGTGATATTTCTTTATGTTTAACTAATTTGATATTATCTAGTACCAGCATATGGTCCAGTATGAACGTCAATTTTTAACGATGTTGTATATGCAATTAATTGAGGATTAATTTGAATATTAACTTGAGAAAAATATTTATTGATAAATTAGCTCTGTTACTGTTTAAAAATCTATTGGGTTATTTTTAATATCTGTCTGTATATTTTTTAACATTTATTCAAATATATTCTTATATTGCTCTCTTTTTTAGTTATATGTGATAATATATTTTTGTTTTGCCTCTATTATTAAATGTCACTACTTATAAAAATAATTTAAAAACTGTATGTGTTTTATTTAACCCGTATACCGATATTTAATTTATCTTTGACCAGGTGTTAGTGTCACAATGAGAAAAGTTTCAGTTTATTTACAACATGAATAAATTACAAACGTTTCGGTCTTTCTTTAGATTAGACCATCCTCAGTGTATAAATGGAAGTAAAAGAAGTAAAAGAAAGACCGAAACGTTTACAATTTCTTCATGTTGTAAATAAACTGAACTTTTATCATTGTGACATTAACGCCTTGTCAAGACTTTCAGCTCTTTTATTCATTGATTGTTTATTCGCGAGAGCTGTATTCATTTATTATTTATTATCTTTCTTATTTTGTTTTATTATCTTCTTATTTTATTATCTTCCTTAAATAATATATATTTCCCTGGCTTATTAAATGCCTTCCATTATTTATTTTTAACGTAGTTTATATCCGACATTTTTTATTGCATTGATATATTTCTATTTTGGTAATTTAGAAATTTCTTTAGCCGACAGAAGAAAATATATTACATGTGTGTACTCTTGCATCGATCGAAAAGATCTCTGCGTCAATTCTCGCCAATAATACATACTTCTTTCTGATTGTAAAGTACACATTCTTGTGTGAAGCATTGTTTAATTATTTGTAATTTGAAAAAAATTATTTTTATTTCATTTCTGTCTCATTGTCCGACTGTCCTTAATCCTTTACTATTTTAGCCTATTTTATTATTAACCCTCAATACCGATAGGTATAAGAAAATACGCAAAACTAGAACTGATTGCAAGTGGTACGCGCAAATGATGCGCAACCGCGAGCTATCTAAGCGCGCCATTACTTCGAAATCGATTACTCTTCAAGGATCTCGTTGGCTCTCAGCTTGATCTCTTTCCATGAATACTCTATATCCTTGCTCTCGCTGAATTCAGAACAGACGGCGAATCGCAAGAAGTATGTGCATTTTATTTTCGCTGGAATGAGATAGATGTTTCCTGCATCGTTGATTTTCTTTAGCAAGGCTTTATTGAGTTCATTGGATCCCTGTAAAATATTATGCGATTAGTTGTGCTATTTTCTGACGTTTTTATACAAATATACTGTATATTTTTTAATATTCAACTCATCAAATATTATTTCTAAATACATTCATACATTAATTTGAAAGATTCTATTTTTGTGTATTTGAGAATTAAATATTATAATTATCTTTTCTAAATAAATTAATATTGCATATACATCCATATAGGAGTTGTCAAGAGAGACTTTCTTGCAAATATATTTGTGAAAACATCGATGTAACAGTATAGAATAATCGGGTACATGTTCAGAACGGGAAAAAACCTTTATCAGTTACGTTGCAGTCACAATTTCTCACTTAACAATGCAAATATAATATAACCCATGTGTTATATTGCATTTAACTATTGAGTCAGAAATTGTAAAATAAATGCAACGTAAGTTATGTTCGGTGTTCATTGGGTACTACTTGTTGTAAAGAAAAAATTTCGTTAAGCCCTACTAAGAAGGCGCCGCCGGTTGGCGCATCTGTCGCGCTACACGATTATCGATACAACCGATTTACCTTCAATCGGAAGCAAACCAATCCCATGAGAACTTGGCCTATGATTTCAAAGCGAGGATCGGACAGAACTAATGCTTCGAACTCGTGTGCTTGAGCGACGTGCGATCTAATGTACTTTTGAAGATTCTCGATCCCGTAAAGCCTCATCACGAACCATAATTTCAGAGATCTGAATCTACGTGTAAGTGGAATCTGCCAATGCTGTAACAAAGTACACTCACAATCAGGTCAATTAACGACAGGTTTCATCAAGTGTTTCCTAAAATGATTTTATTAATCAGATAATGCAAATTGAACTGTATTAACAATAGTTACCCTGTAATCTGTCACCAAACCCTGCATCTCGTGCTTTAGAAACTCAGCTTCCACATGGAAAGCGTTTGTAAAATATGTCGGATTCTTAAGCCACAGGACAGAGCAGTCGAAATTAACTAACATCCATTTATGAGGGTTGAAATTGAATGAATTTACCGTTTCAATACCTTTCATTAAATATCTGAATTCCGGACAAATAAAAGCAGATCCTGTAATCAATTGGATTTGTTTTAGCTCTATTTTATAAATTGAAGAAATCATAATTACTTTTATCATAGAAGAAGGAAATTAATCTATACCTGCATAAGCAGCATCCACATGCATCCAAACGTCTTCGCGATTCGCTATAATACCAATTTCATCGAGACGATCAAAAGCGCAACTAGCAGTCGTCCCCAAAGTAGCGACAATCTGTGATAAGAAATCAACTTGTACTTTTTAATATAAATTAATTTCTTCCTGATATCAATTAATATTAGTTTCTTGTTGTTACGGAAACGTTACGTTAATTATTTATGGAGTAGAATTATTAAGTGCGATACCATATTTCGCGTGATCTTGTAATTAATATATTGTAACATTAAATTTCTAAAAGTATTATATATTTCAAGAAGTTGTATTTCGGAGAAATTTTTGGATATTTTATTTTTTTCTTCGTGAATTCTCTACGATTCTAGTTATCTTTTAAAGGAATAAAATTTGGAAGAAACAGAGTATTTGATCGATAAAGACATATCGGACAAACTAGACGTACGTAAAATGGTATAAATCCTTCTTCTATATCCTTTCTGATTGCTTCGGCAAACGTGTCGCCGCGCAGCTGATATTTTTCATCGACTTCCAACTGTCTTAATTTTACTCCTCCCATACGTCCAGCGCGTTCAACCGCAGTATGTGCTTGGCCTTAGGAAATACAATATTTTGTCACGTATTGTTATTGTGATTCATTTATTATAATTGTTTGATTTTTAAGAAATCTGCAATGTTGATTTGAACCATACATTTTCTTATTACTACACGGAAAAAACAATGTAGCTGCTGTAGCTAAAACTTGGCAAAATAGGGACAGCTAATATTTTAGTTGTGATAGCTCAATAATTTGCTACTGTGCCTATTGTACTAGGTGCGACAGCAAACGGTTTGCTGTCGTAGCAAAATATTGAGCTATCACAACTAAAAATATTAGCTGTCCCTATTTTGCTAAGTTTTAGCTACAGCAGCTACATTGTTCTTTCCGTGTACATTATGTTAATTTACACATTGTCGATATATGTATAATATTTAAATTTAGAGTAACTTCTGCTTACAAAACTAAACTGTATGTAAATTTTACTTCAAGAAATGAACTTGTTATCGATTTAGGTATGTGAATTTAATATTTCAACGAATAATAAAACTATGTTTTAAGTCCGTAAAAAATCGATGCGCGTTTATTAAGTTTGAAATAAGTATACAAAAATTTAGACAATATTATTAGGTTATGAAGAACTAGCTCTGACCAATAGTTGGATAATTCTTAATTCATTTATAGTTTTATCGGTCATGCTGTTCACTTAGGAATTTTGGTGTTCCTAATGTGTTCTAATGTATAAATTTTATTAATTACGACTATCAGTTTTATTTCTGTAAAGTTTCAGTTGCGAATGGCCGAGGTCATTTTGTTCTCTTGCGATATAGTCTTTCTATTCTTATGTACAATTATCTTATAATAGGTTTAATACTTCAAGCGTCCTTATAACTCAAAATGTATAAATAAATTCGCTTTTGGGCAGACATTTGAACAAGCAATGAATTTCGTTTTTGTTTCGATCTTATAGACCTCCTGTAATTTTTGTGTGACATATTCTGTAGGGAAATAATCGCAGTAATACTCACTCGAACAATATGCGACTAGTTTATCGACAATCTCGTTTTCCGTCATATTAGGATACTGTTCTTTAACTTCCTTAAGCTTTTTATTCTTCGCACCTAGTAACGTTACCAAAGTCCCTTCGCAAGCGCTGCTCTGAAAGTGAAAATTTCACCCATATTCGCTTAATAGTATCTCCCTTTTAAAAATGTCAGTCTCAGAAATAAGCATTTCTTCCCCATATTCAGATATTTTTTGTTAATGTATTGCTATTGGTAAAGTGTCTCTTACTAGAATGACGCCACCGCCTTTTCCAACGGTGCAGGAAAGAAATTCTTTGGGCAGGGCCAACATTTTTACCAGCCAGTCCAGTACGATCACTTCTAGTTCAGTACAAGCTGGACTCACGAACTAGAATTCAGGAAATTTGGTATGAAAAGTGACCAAGAGGATAGCGTGTCTTTAATATTTTAATCTTAGTGTTCGATATATTTTTTGCTTTATGTTATCTTTCATTTTTCAAAATTATTATATTTTATTTTGCATAATGGGATCTTGTTATCATTAGTAACTTAGTCTTTTATCTATTGCGAAAACAGATTTTATTATTCTTAAAAATTCAAATAAATATTTTTTTATAAACTTCATAGTATATGTACTGGAAAACATGTATGTGGATCTTCTAGTAATAGGTACGATTAAAACATTCACATTTTTTATGCTCTTACCCACGAGAACCCAATACACCCAATACCTGCGCTTAACATATCGGCTAGAATCGAGGGATACGAATGACCAGCGGGAAAGAATGCATTGAATTTTGGACTCTGCCAATGAGTAACCTAAACAATTTGATCTTAATTTATTTCTTGCCCACAGTCGAAAATACTGATGATAAAGTACATTAGTGTTTTAATTGTAGTGTTATTGTTTCGCGATGCTTGAATTAGTCATTATTGTATATAATACTTTTGTTAGATCAGCGATTTCCGATCCATTGAGTAGTTAAAAATTACTTACGCCTGGCATTATTACTCTTTCGATATCGGCCATTACATCTTTCCATTGTTCAGGAGTTTGGGGTGCTTCGGATGGCACGAGGGGTCTCATGTATCCTGGCTTCACCTTAGGCAAGACTCTCCTGGGAATTTTTGATATTTTTACAGACTAGATATATTTATATGAAAAGTACAAAATAATATACGTAGTCACGAAAGATAATTAGACTCCTATAGTAAAATAAAAAACGAACGTAGAAAGAAGCAATAGGAGTCAACACAAGACGTTATGTGTGAAATGTATAACATTGGATACATCGAAATATAAATAATTACGTCAGACGTTTCGATCACACAAAGTTATCTTTCTCAATGACAGATATACAATAAGTGTTCAACATGTTTTTTAATATACGTAGATTATTACTTATGCAGTTTCACCGTTAAGCGATTTTTCGATGCTTGTTATCTACCTGTCTTTAATATTTTCCATGTAATTTGTGATATATTCCGCCACCTCTTTAGCGCAATCCTTGAAGCTATCGGAATCCATATTTTACAAATAACGTTCAAGTTTCGCAGCAAACTTTAAATACTTTTTTGTATTCGTTTTCACCAATAATCTATAAGAAACGAATTGTAATATTTTAATTTATTATTTTTAAAAGAAAACCGTATTGGAGGTGTAACAGAAACATTTGGAGTGGTTTTTATACCGTGTTGTAATTGCGTACCTGAAATGAAAGTTTTCCGTGCATTATGTTTAATTAGAATATAATTGTCCTCCAAATTACACGTATTAGAATAATTAGAAATAAACGTTATTTAATTGGACCAATATTATACCATACATTATACAGGGTGGTCAATTTACATGTGGACATGGAAATATCTCGAAAACTATGCATTAGATAAAAAAATGGTCGGAGTAAAATGGTCGGACGATGTCCGAGCGACATAGGAATTGATTTGCCTACCTAAGAATTCACCTTGTGTAGTAATATTAGAGGATGAGTCGATACCAGTCTCTTCAGCGAGGATCTTGATAATTGTTGCAAGTTCTTATGCTTTTTATGTGAAATAGAGATACTACTTAAGTTTGTAGCACCTGTTTATTTACACAAACTTATCCAGCTTAATGAATAAGAACAAAACTCATATCACTTTACTGCTTGTTAAACACGATTTGTGCTATTGCCAGGATACCGCGTAGTACAATATTAAATGTATATTGCAAACTACCGCCAGTCAAGGATCTCCGATAATGCTCGAACGTGCGAAGACGAGTGACAAAGTATGCGCTATCACCCAGGTCCGTTCTACAAAGTACATCACATATCGTAATTGAACGTCGAGCACACGTGCACTGGATTATCAGCTATCGTTTGAAATAATTTCGCAAGCTAATTGTCGCTGTTAAAACGATAGATGGTCGTATCATCTCACCACTTATTTACAGAGAGAGCGGACTAGACTGAGTCACGAAGAGTCCTCTACTATTTTGCAATTTCCCAATTGCAAAAGTTAGCGAGCCATTAATTATTAAAAAAACACTGTCTTAGCCCGGTTTACCGCCCAATTCAAACGCGCTGCGAGATGTGGCCGTGCCACGTTCGGCGTTTCTAGGCGCGTGAGGAGTTATTTATTATACTGTTACGCTTAGCGCGCGTACGGCGGCGTCGGCCGCAACGTCTCCACGCCTACTTCGCACACTTTTACACATTCCCGTTTGTTTGCGGGAATGAGCTTCACCAAATTAGAGAAAGATTGCGTATTTATTCAGTACTAGCATGCCCCGCGGCTTCGCTCGCGGACTTTCGCGTGGCACACACACACACACACCCATATATACATGGTGTTTAATAAAAATCTCACTAATTTCAAAATAGTGCTAAATTGGTTTAAACTTAGATATTAAATTTATTTGCTGCGTTTCAAAATTCGCAATAGTTATCGAGTAATTAATTTATACATCTAAGCGAATGAGGACGTATAATACGGTACACCGTTCTTCGAAACCATGTAATATTATCGATTGATTTGCTTTAGCCGTAGCCACGCGCGAAATACAACGCTTTTAGTAAAAAACACTGATCTCCTCCGGTTGCGCGGAACGGGCGGCGAGCGTTGCGGCCAGCGCGAGGGACGGGCGACCCGAGACATAAACATATTTCCCTCAAAAATTATTTATTCTCCTTTTTTCTTTAAATTTTTTTTCTATTTCATGAAAATGAGGCGCTTTCATTTCCTTATCACCTTGCGGTAGATAGCATGGTGCGTTTTTTTTATAGTGGTTTCCCCAGTATGCCTAATCCACTCTTATAATTCAATGCTTAAATTGTTCACCTTCTGCGCTCTCATTCGCTCATACATTAAAATTAATTTCTTGATAACTATTGCGAATTTTGCTATACGTTATAAGACTTTTCTATTCAGTTTGCCTTGCTTTATCTACTCTCTATGGGACACCCGGCAATTTAAAGCTATTTATGTTTTTCAAAAATTTTCGAAAAAGAATAAAACATTGTTTTAGTTATTTTTGCTTTAATCAATGAAATATATGGTGTGTAGTCTATTTATACATGTTATTCCACAATTTTTGTTAGAATAAAGTGCGTGTGTGTGTGTGTGTGTGTGTGTGTGTGCGTGTGCATGCGCGTGTGTGTGTCTCTTTGCCGATGAAATAAAGTATGCGTGCGTATGCGTGTGCGCGCGCAAGTGTTTGTGTGTGTCCAAAATAATATTGTTAATTTTTTTGTGATCATTTGCGCATGCGCAGTCCGCAGTGTGTGATCATTTGCGCATGCGCAGTCCCCAGGTGCGCAATATCTATAATATATAGCCTAAGACACTCCCGAGATGATAAGGAAACATGTGTTAAAATTTACGTACTTTTTAACGTGGAATGCAAATCTGTTATAAAAAGTGGGGGTTCCCATTTTAGATTTTAAAGTTGTCCCCCGCCCCACCCACAGGGGTGGGTGTGGGGGGTCAATTTTGGTATCATTCGATAGCTCTTTCAAAAATAGGAAATACGTATTTTTCTGTTTTCCGATCCACCCACAATTTCTTGGAATATTCAACCGTTCCGGGACTTTTAGACCACCCTGTATGTAAGTATGTAAATAGGAGATGTTAACGTCACACAACTCATTAAAATCGGTTCCGAATCCGAATGATAAGAAGTAGGGTATCTCGTCATATAATTACCATTTTTAAAGCAAGACACATTTTTTGCTCTCAATTATTAATATACAGGGTGAGTAAAAAGTACCGGGACGGTGAAATATCTCGAAAACAGAGCATTTTCGAGTGAAACGTCTCGTATGAGAGTTGTAGGGTTAAAAAGATATATTTACTGAAGTTTGACCTTGGGTGGCGTCGGCAAGGTCAGGTCAAGGTTACATCGACTTTTTCAAATGGAACTCCCTGTTACTTATTGTACTATCTTATTCTACTAATTAATATGAACAGGTTTTGTCGGAAACGTCTTTTGATTTGCCTAATACTTTTTGAGATATTCGAGAGAAAATTGATAACTTTTTCAATATTTAGCTTATGATATCTTGATAACTGTTTGTCGGAGGGAAAAGTAGTACAGGACTTGTTTACTTTATTTCATCTGTAACGATGCCACGGAAATACTCAGCGAAACGAAACGTGCCGAACCAGCGCGGCCAATTACAGACATACCGCTTTTTTTTTCGAGCCGTTCCGCTATAGTTTTACCGTTGTAATCCGCAGAATCACTGGATCAGAATGGATAACCTCTATTTTGTTTTACCATACACGTTCCGACAGTACTGTGGGGAGAAGATCGCAAAAGTTCGATAATACTAGTATTGTCTTTGGTTTTTCCGTTCATTCCGCGAGTCAATATCAGGCAATACCAGGTTATGATTGTACACGTTTCCGCTGATGCATTTCTCCTAATGTCCCATTAAGCTGTAAACACGGCAGCAGAATTGAAATTCAACGAGTCGTAGGAGAGTTCTACATTTACATTAAAAATATTTTACAGAAAAACAGATTCAACGTACCAATTTTTCCTTAAGTCTGGCGTTGCTATAATTATATTTTTCGGTTTCCACAAAGAAAAATATATAAGAAAACATATAAATAAAATGATTCCTAATATTATACTATTCCTAACGGCAGGAGAGAGGAGAGGGAAAGGGAGAAGGAGGCAAGTGATAGGAATATAAGGAAAATAATATAATTTCATATTCAGAACAGAAGGGGAGAATGAAGGGGGACGGTGGACACGGGAGAGAGAGGAACGAAGGAAGAGGAGAGACAAGACGGGACGAGGGAAGCCGGAGGAGCGTGGAACGGGAGGGGCAGGAAGGAGGAACAGAGGGACACAGAATGAAAGAGGGAGGGGAAAAAGAAAAATGTAAGGTCGCTAATGGCCAGGTAGGAAATAGGAAAAAATAAAAATAAAATGTAAAGGTTTTTGGGAACGTTTTTACTGAAAAAAAAACGCCTTTCCAGCCCCGGAAGGGGAGAGAAATAAAGAGAATTGATTGAATATTATACTATTCCTAATAATATACTAAATTACAATGACCAAGTCTTTGAAAATGCTCCAATTAAACTTAAATAATAATTAGCATATGTTTTAATAAAAAACAGACAATAAACCAGAGTATATATTACATTTTGTAATTATGCTTTTATATTTTTGACAAATTTGACAGGTTTCCTTGATTAACTTGTATTAATCGACAGATTAAATTGTATTAATTTGGTAGCCGCGCGAAAAATACAACATGTCTCATGTCCAGATACGATTGTCGTCTATAAGGAAGACACTAATAATTCACGAACAAGCTAGGAGCGTGCGTGTCGCGACAATCGTACTACACGCGGAAAGTGAGACGTCGATTCGCCATATATCGGGTCGACATATTGACCAGAAAAGTTAGCTAAAAAGATATTTTTTACATATTTTTGCACTTTATCGAAAAAAATAAGAAAGAAGATAACGAAAAGCTTTTTATGTCTTTCGGTAAGACGAAGAAATATTTTTTAGTCGAATTTTCGCTTTACCGAAAGGCGACTTTCAACTTCTTAAAAATGTCGACTTTCAGTCTCTAGTTAAAGTCAACAATAAATCATTCTCTAAATAGTTGACTAAATGTCGACTTAAAAAGTTGACTTCAAGGTGACTAAAAAATGTCGACTATCAGCCGGCAAACAGTCATTTGTGCTATGTGGGATATGACTTTACTTGTGCATTAAAGAAACTTTATTGAAGAGTCATTTATAATCATTTTAATCAAATTAATGAACAAATCAAGATCTCTCTTGTGTAAATTATATCGTCGATGATTAATTACGTCAACAATTTCTAATTATTTTTGATAAATCCGACGAGTTTATTTGACAAATGTTTTAATGATAAGAATCATAAGAATGATTAATTTATTGTTATTTTATTATTAATAATAATAAGATTTTTAATAATACATGTGATGTACGTCAAATCGTGAATATTTCAATATCTAATATCTCATTAATTTTGTATTCAAAGCACTGCTATGCCTATGTTTCTACATTCAATGAAAATATTTTTAAAGATGAAGGTATTATTGATGAAAAAGGAAACGAGAACGATTCGGTACATTTATTAATCTAATTTGGTCGACGTTAACAATTTAATAGTTAAATTTTCAATGTCCACATTGACATATAAAATATTTAATAATATATTTTGTAACATTTTAACAAACAATATACAACCAAAATACAATCAGTTTGTTTATAGCAAATCATTCATTGGTCCCATGACGACTGAAATGATTTCATTAGATTAATATTTTTCATCTTTTTGCTTAAATTATTAAAATTATTGTTCAACTAGTTAGTTGTCTGGCAATAATAAAATCTTTTGATAATTTGACAAAAATAAATATTTGGACTTCTGTATTTTGAGTTGTTGTTATCAGTTAATTGTAGCAGTAATCTTAAGAATAATTTACATGCTTTTTCATCTCGTCCTCAGATATGCGTATGTTGTCAACGTTTTCGACAGGCTGTGTCTTGTTGATTAATTCTATTACTATTATTGTCTCTGTTGCAGCACAACATTACAGCAAGTATTAGCGCACACATGTATATATACGTTATTATTATCGTTCCAATCGTTTGTCACTTGAGAGACATTATTAGAATATTAGAAGCACTTGTCTTCGATGTTGTTTCAACAACACAGTGACTCGAGAATATTTGCATTGAAAGTAGAGATTTGAAGTGTAAGTTTTAGAGAGAAATCCTAAAGAAACTAAAACAGATGTACAAAGAGAGAAGGATAAACGTATGTTATGTGCGTCGACTTTACAACTTTCTCTACAATACGTTTATAATCATTTATATTTCTAACAGACATATACACACAACATGCGTTCAAAACATTTATCTACACACAACTGCAACGTGTACAATAGTGTAGGATCGTGAAAGAAGATTTATTAATTCTTCGTAGACGCTTGTGAAAAGGAATGTAAACATTTCGGTGGGAAAGTCAGTTTCGCAAATTACTTTCTGTCGTGAAATGAAAGAATTAACCGTATTTCACTCTTTATATATTAATTAACGAATCAAATGATTATATACGCAAATCTTTTGCGTACGCACATAATTCTTTACGCCTGCAAAATAATAAATAAGTATCATGCTTGCATGAGACACAAGATTTAAAGGATATTTCACATTTTTAATATCATGCCTAAAATTATGCTTATATCAGTGCGCAACTTTGTAATGGCAACGCGCGACTTTCACTACGTAAGGTACTTGCAAGGATGTTGCTTAAGGAGTTCGTACAATAACATTGATAGTGTGCCAGCAAAAGTGGCACAAGGAGACACATAATATTGCATTACACCTATTATGTTGTTAACACGAATCCCAGCAGGCTACATAACCGATTCCTGAAGCAGTAATTATTTTAAAACGTACCTTTTCCCGTGGAACTTTTAACGTAAGTAAAATAATCATTTTACTCAATGAGACAATTAAACAGATTTATATACGCGCCTCACTTTACAAAATTTACAATGTACAATATTTTAGAGGTTTTGCCCTACGTGTGACACCCGCTTACCAAAATTTTGTGACCGGTGCTTCATCTCATTGCCTAATAAATTATTTTTTATAATACACGTTCGGTAATGTTTAATATACAGACATACGCTTAATAACACGTGCATAAATAACAATATAACGACCATCACGCATTCAAATAACAATAAGAGGCGACGTTTTCATGTTGTATCCACCTTGAGCACTTAGCGGAATATAACTTAACAAAATACATCTCCACAATTAACATATTTATAACCAGTAGAACATTTAATCCGTTGCTTAATAAACTATAAGCGTGAAAATACATATGTGTATAGATAGAAAAGAAATTAACTTTGTGCAAAATAATCCTTGTTAAGAACCTAAGACTAATGTATTTTCTCCATTTCGTAAATTATTGAATTCTATCAGCATACAATATTAGAGTAATGAACTATATTGCTGGCTTTAAAACATTAAAATACTGCACTTTTTAACTTGATGTCACATTTGATTCTCTATTAAGCAATTGATTTGAGCGAAAACTTTAACGGTCGTTATTCATAACAACTTTTTAATTTTCAATAAATATTTGATTACTTAAGCCGCAATGCACCAAATTGGAATGTAGTATACGGCGAACGAAGGTTTGCATTTTGGAAGCATTGTTCAGTTGTTTGTAATGAAAAAATTTTTGCAAAAATTGCTATTTTTGTCGCATATCTGTCTGAGACCACCTCTAGGTCACCGCTTTAGCCTATTTGGTCCTCAAGAGCCGCTGGGTGTAAGGGAATACTTCAAGCTAAGATTGGTTGCAAGTGGCAGGCGCCAATGATCTGCAACCGCGAGCTATCTGAGCGCGCCATCACTTCGAAACCGACTGCTCTTCGAGGATCTCGTTGGCTCTCAGCTTAATCTCCTTCCATGAATACTGTATGTCCTTGCTCTCGCTGAATCGAGAGCAGACGGAGAGTCGCAGGAAGTACGTGTCGCTTATCTTCGACGGAACGAGATGAATATTTCCTGCCCCGTTGATTCTCTTTAACAAGGCTTCGTTGAGTTCGTTGGATCCCTGTAAATTATTATGAAATTGCTTCTGTTATTTTCTTATGGTATTATAAAAATTGTGTACACATGGTATCTTTCAATCATCAACCAATTAATTATTATTTCTTAATACATATTCTTCTATTAATTTGAAAAATTCTTTAAGCATTGTAAATATATTTTTAACAAATATAATATTAGATATATATACAGATATTTCTCAAAAAAGACTCTTTGACAAATGTATAATCCGTGAGACTAGTCGACATACTTTCAATCGAAAGCAAACCAATCCCATAAGAACTTCGCCCACGATTTCGAAGCGAGGATCGGAGAGGACTAGTGCTTCGAATTCGTGCGCTTGAGCGACGTGCGATCTGATGAACTTTTGAAGATTTTCAACCCCATAGAGCCTCAGTACGAACCAAAGTTTCAAAGATCGGAATCTACGTCCAAGTGGAATCTGCCAATGCTGTAACAAAATACTTAGATCTATTAACGGCAGTATTTCATCAATTATGTTCTAAATTAATTACATAATGTAAATTGAACGATATCAATTTAAAGCAACTCCCAATAGATTTGTAATAGTTACCCTATAATCCGGCGCGGCACCCTGCATATCGTGCTTCAGATACAAAGGATCGACATTGAAAGCATTTATGACATACGTCGGATCCTTAAGCCACATAGCAGAGCAGTCGAAATTCACTAGCATCCATTTGTGAGGGTTGAAATTGAAAGAATCTGCCATTTCGACGCCTTTCATTAAATATCTGAATTCGGGACAAATAAAAGCGGATCCTGCATAGGCAGCGTCCACGTGCAACCAAACGTCTTCACGATTCGCTACAATGCCCATTTCATCGAGACGATCAAAGGCGCAATTAACGGTGGTACCCAAAGTAGCGACAGCCTGCGATAAGAAATCAACTTAAAATCTCTGAAGTACTGATTTCTCTTTAATTAATTAATTTCTTATTAAGTTTATTAATCTACTAATTTCTTATATTATCATATTTAACTTGCAATTAATGTTAATTATTTATAAAGAATTGTTAAGCGCGATACCAATATTTTTCTATATTCCAAGAATTTTCTGTGAATATTATTTTATTACATAAATACTTTACTTATCTTATATTATTTTACTTTTTTACAGAGTTACAGAGTACGCTAAATTTTTCCTATGCGATTCTATTCGATTTTTTTAATGAAAAAAAATGGAACAATCGATTTTCGGATAAGCTGAACTTACGTAAAACGGTATGAATCCTTGCTCCTTATCCTTCCTGATTGCTTCGGCAAGTGTGTCACCGCGCAGCTTATGTTTCTCATCGACTTCCAATTGTCTGAATTTCACTCCGCCGAGAAGTCCAGCACGTTCAACCGAACTATGCGCTTGGCCTAGAAAAGAAATATAATATTTCTCATCGCGTATTTTTTGCGATTAATTTATTATACA